CTCATTACCAAAATGAATTGGAATGTAACTTTAGGACTCTAGGAAAAACACCCACTTATTAAGATGAGAAAGTAATTTATGACAGGCTTCAATGCTAAATCATGTGAAATTATGACCCGAATTGAGAAAAGGGAAAAAAAAAAAAAGAAATCATTTGGGGAAAAAAGGTGAAGATACAATTGTACTAGGACCCTAAGTTGAATTACTGGAATTGAACATTGAACATGGTCCAAGGATCTAAATAATAAGACAAAAAATGAATAGTAAGTCTTTTCCTTGCTCTACATTAGAAGAAAATGTATGCCTTTTGTAGGCACATTTTGTTCTACATAAAATTTACCACCGAATAGACATATTTATTTCTGCTCATCCGCATGCTTTCTGAAGTTGAATTCTGTGCTGCTGGAGACCTCGCCCATCTGACTGACTGTCCTTTCTTGCTGAGCATAGGCTTGGCATTTAAGCACGTTACACGGATGCTTGACTAGATATCCACAGAAGGTTTGAAATACTCAATTATAAGGTCACTTGTCATAAAACATTATAAAACAGAAATAAAGAATGAGTACAGAAAAAATTTTAAAAAAGGGATAGAACGTGGAGTCTGGAGACAGAAAGAATACAAACTGAGTTACTGTGAAAGTCAGAGGACTTTTGACTATTAGTGACCTCACTTCTGTCGTTGAACTTGCTGTGGCAGGAGTGAAAAGAGAAGAATTCATCTACAGGATGAGGCTTGTATCCTAAATGGTAGAATATTTCACTTACTCCCAGGAAGCAAAACCTTTCTAATGGTATTTTTGAGGAAATTTCCTACTCAGAGCCCTGTTGAAAAGACACGGGAGGGTGAGCCGTGTTACTAATGGTCGTTGCAGATGCATTTCTGGCTGTCCTCCATCATATCCTGAGATGGCAGCAGAGGTGCCGCAGTCCCATGAAACCCAGCGTATAATACAAATGGAGCCTTAAGAAGGGTGTGAAAAACGGAGGAGCACCACCGTTGATGCTTGCTTTTGAGAGCACTTCCATTTGGTCACAAAGGACTCAAAACTGAGTCAAATTTGGCCCACAGACAAAGGGAAGGAGATCATTAGAATGATCAGGGACCATTATAGTTCACAGTTATGTCTTCCCTAAATTCTTGAATTTAAGAATACTTGTTTTAATAGACCCTAAAGGGCCATCAACCTGAGTTAAGAATTAATGATATGGTCGTGAAACTAATAGTTCACCCGGATGGATGTTGCGTCTGTTTGGATTTCTTTGGGAGCAGATCGGTTTATTAAGGATGAAATTTCAGCTCTAACGAGGGCTTGCAGAATGTGAGATAGAGAAGGAGGAAACCCACTGTGGTACTTGGTAATGACTGGCTTGCCTTCTGTCTAGAGAATACCTGAGGGCCCGTTACCCCTTCAGGAAGTTTCCTTTGATGCTCTAGCCCACTCTGTTTTCTCCTTCCTTCCCTCCGGTTGTGGTTTGTGTTGGGCTCTCATTTAGTACCAGTCATCACATCATGTAGTGTCTTGGCATTTGTAACAAATACATTGACAATTCTGCTGGACGTTGGCTTCCTTGTGGAAACAACTGACAATAATATTTGAATGTCTTTGGTCCGGCATATAATAAGCATCCCAGATGTTGCTGATTATATTAACGTAGACCTCCCATGGTCCAATGGCACAACCACATCTTCAGGAATGAGTGGCATCAGTTCTGTCTATGTGACTAGACCTGTCCCCGTGAAAAGAATTCTTTGATAAAGGGTCAGCGGGAACATGTCTCTTCTTTTGTAAGTAATACCACCAGAAGTGATTTTAGATTTTTGTTGCTATAGAAACCTCAGAAAGTACATTAACTTCAATGCACAGGCATCTTATTCCTTAAAAATTTCATGTTTGAATGATTTAAATGCAGGTCCCAGCTGGGTGATTAAATGTGTTTCAGACAGGCAAGCAGTATATTGTAGTGGTTAAATATGTAGGCTTTAGATGCCTGCGTTCAACTGCTGGCTCTATCACAAAAAGCATGTGTGACTCTGAATGAGACAGAGAAAGAAATCAGGATGTAGGGAGGTATGCCTTTCCCAAGAATTCATAGGCCCGCCACTTACAGCCCCTTGTGTAGCTAATATTAGCTTCAGAAGCTTGATCTATGTTGCACTGTCAGTGTAGTGATAGAGTGGATGTGAAGGATGAAAATTAAACAAAGAAGATTCTCATCCCTTTCCATGTTCTCTGCCTCCCATCATCTCTTGTTTTCTTCTTTCCTTCTCCCTACTTTTCTTGCTTTTTATTCTCTGGGAGGAAAGTCCATTTTTTAATCCTCATTGGAAAAAGGATTTAATCCACTGTCTGTGTGAAACAAGAAGCAGTAGGTTTCTACTACAAGCCATAATTTCTCATATCACTGCCCTTCATGAATATTGTGATTCCTCTTAAGTAGAATGATTTTTTTGTTTATTTTAGCAAAACAAACGTTCTCTGAGTATCTACTGTATTCCTTGTTCCTCGTCTGCATTATTTCTCATCATTCACACAATCCTAGAAGGTGAATTCTATTGTTTGTCCAGTCTTGCCTGTATTAGCCCCATGTTGCAGGGGCCATTTGCCACAGACTGATATCTTCATGGCTGTGGTAGGAACCAGCCAGATGGTCCCCTGTCCATTCCTGAGTGGAGGAGTGTGGATGAGGGAAGGCTAGTTATCCAATAGCATTAGAAAAGAGACAGAGACATCTGATCGTAACAGGAGGGCAATCAATTAATACTGAAGGCTCCCAGATTATTGATTCATCATCTTAAGTAACCATCCAAAGATGGAGGCAATGGCAGAAGACATCTATTATCATGTATAAATGACTGATAGCAATTATTTCCCTTAATCCTAAAGATACTCCTTTGCAGCATGGTACTTTACTTCAGGTACTCCACACCAGCATGCCTCACTAGCCTTCAGGGTGGGTGTAGACTCGCCCAAGTCTATTGTTATTTAGATAGGAGCCATAGTCCTTGGAGGAGGTCAGAACATCCAGCAGCTATTAGTTGACATCTAAAAGACAATAGAAATGCTGGGCTCTCCAGAACTCGTGATAGGGTGGAATAGATTTTCAAAATATATGGGTCCTGACAATTGTTCTAGTTTTTTTTCTTTTCTGAGATAGTCCATGAGACGATCACAGAAGACGTTGGTAGAAGAGTAATGAGCGGCTCAGGGAAGCAAACAAGAAGCTCATGCTATCAAGGAAGTGAACCCTGGGGTAACTGGGGATTAATCTTGTTGGACAGGTCTGGGAGCTTGTATGGCACAAGCACCTCACAGACACCCATGATGTAGTGGGGGGGGGATTTGTGGCATATCAGTTCCAATTGCTCACTGGTTGAAAGAAATATTCTCACACATGCAAATTTTCTTGTACTTTTGAGCTCTGGCAGATAAATTTCTGGGTAAAAAATGTATCAGCTGGAGGACTCCAAAGAACATGAGCTGCTGCTATTAGTTACCTGCATTTGAAGGAAGGCGAGCCAGAGGTCTGTAGAAATTGCTACAGAGGCTACATATAGAAAATGTTGCATGTGTCGTCACAATTTGAATTCTCCTGACTCCCAGATCCAAACTCTTCCTGCTTTCTTGCATCACCCTTGAGTGACATCATCACTGAGCCACAGAGCAACTGCTATGTCTGTGTGAACTGTAACAGCATGACTTTAACCCGTGTGAGGGAGTGCTATTTTGAGGATGCTAGGATGTTTGGAATGGTACGGTTACTAAGTTAGATATTAGCTTTACATTTTTTCTGTGTGGAGTTAAGTCATATCTGTTGCCCCCATAGAATAATAATTTGAAGCAGTGGCTCGTAGTGCCTAAAGATTCAGCATTATTTAGAAATGAGGTCACAGCCAGATGCAGTCGTGTTGGTGTGAGGCCACAATGGAGTAGGAGAGCCTCCAGTCCTACATGACTGTATTCCATACAGACTCAGGGAAGCAGAGAAGAAAGGGAAACCCTGCATGGTGAAGGCAGAGATTGGTGTTGTGTAGCTATAAGCTGAGGGATTCTAGAGGTTGCCAGATATCTGCCCTGAGCTAGGAGGAGGCAAGGAAAGGGTTCAAAGGGTGCTTGGCCCTTCTAGCCTCCAAAGCTGTGAACCCATCCATGTATATAATCTTAAGCTACACAGCTTGTGGCATTTTGTTATACAGCCTTGAAAAAAAAAAAACCAAAGCACACTCATCTTTGCTTTTTTTTTCTTCTTAATAAAACTACACAGAAACTAATGAAGGCACAAGGAGGGGATTTCCTATCAGCCTTCAGAATTCTCTGAGCTATATCTTGCATGACTCTTAGAGAGTGTTGTGGGCCCCTTGAGGGATCAACGCTTCTAACACCAAGGATATAAAACTACAAGGTTTGGATAAAAATTATTTCCATGTTTAGTGCTTACTAGGTTTAGCAATGATTAATGTACCGGATATTGCTTTCAACCAAGGTAAAATACACTCTATTTAAAAATAAAAAAAAAAGGAAAATGGGAATGTGACTGATGGATTGAACCCAGCAAGAAAGACTCCAAGACACTACCCACCTCTGGTATCTGATGCAGCCGCTTGCACGGTTTTCCTCTTCTGGCCCCTCCAGGGTGCTAGGGACAGACTCTTCTGTTCTCTTGTACTTCCTTGATCCAAGCTAAAGGCCTGGGGCAAAGGATGCTAAAAGATTTATTTTTATGAACAACAACCCTCGGCTGTAGGCAGAGGGAGAACTGAACACACGTTCCAGCCGGGAGAGCAGAGATCTGGCAACCTAAGTTAAGTGAAGAGTGCCCAGAGTCAGTGGGTAAGGCTGTCTCTCTGTGAATGACGCAAGCTATGGCCGTGCTCAGGAGGAATAGGCACTTCTGGTTCTGTTGATGCGAGACAAACATTTCGCTGTGGTTTCAGGTTCCCTCTCTTGGTACGTTGTTATGGGAACCAAGTTCAAATTCGAACAGGTCTAATTTCAGGACTTCTGCTTTGGTGTGACCCATTCTTTGGGGATAGGGTCCTACCTCAGTACCACAAACCAGGGAGAAATGTGTTCTTTTCAGACACTCTGAGACTACACAGTAAGTACAGTATTAAGACAGGGGGATGGGAAAGCCTGGCTCTGAATACAGAAACTGTTTATGGCTTATTTCTCATGTTTTTGTAACAGTAATGGAAGCATAAAAAATTAACCGTATCATATTTGATGGTTACTTAACTGTCAGTTTGACATAACCTGGAATCATCTGGGAAGAGAGTTTCAATTGTCTAAATCAATGTGGGAAGACACAGCCTGAGAGCAGCGTTGCCTGTATCGGTTAGAATGGAAACGGCCCCCACAGGTCCATAGGGAGTGGCACTATTAGGAGGTGTGGCCTTGTTGCAGCAGGTGTGGCCTTGGTAGAGGAAGTGAGTCACTGGGTGGTGGGCTTGGTGCTTCAGATGCTCAAACCAGGCCCAGTGTCACTGTATTCCTGCTGCCTGCTGATCCAGATGCAAAACTCTTAGCTCCTTCTCCAGCACCACATATGCCTGTGTGCAGTCATATTCCCTGCCATGATGACAATGGAGTAAATCTCTGACACTGTATGCCAGGCCCAATTAAATACTTTCCTTATTAAGAGTTTCCATGGCCATGGTGTACCTTCACAGCAGTAGAAACCCTAACTAAGACAACATCACTACTGTTTTGGGACCCTGATGAGAGCTTGTTAAGTACAAGGCATCCATTTATTTTCTCTCTGCTCTTGACTGTGTGTGTGTGTGTGTGTGTGTGTGTGTGTGTGTGTGTGTGTGTGTGTGTGACTAGCTATTTCTAGTCCCTGCCGTGGGTGCTGTACAATGATGGACTGTAACCGGGGATTGTAAGGTAAATACAGCGTCCTCTCAGATGCTTTTCATTTGGGTGTTTTGTCACAGAAACAGGAAAGAAAGGAGAGCGTCCTAGCATTGAGAGTCAGTAAGAAGAGAATCCATGCCGGAGAATACAGAATACTGACTCTTCAAGTGTCATACCTGTCCCACAAGAAGTTTCCATCTTCACAGCTACGTCTAGAGCAATGTCTGCATGTCTGTGTATACATTTATCCGAATCATCTGTATGTGTAACAATACCCAAGCACGTTTTCCTTATTTTCAAGTTTATGAAGGCAATGGGAGACTTGCAGTGGACAGAATTTTCATTTCCAGGTAAAGGTAAGTTATACACAGTTGTCATCACATGTGGTCTGGGGGTAATGGTTAGTCTGTCCTCACTCTGATAATGAGAAGCCTCTTGGACAGAGGATGTTTTTTTGTGTGTTGCTTTTCCTAGCTGTTGAGATGAGAGTTTCTCAGATTTTTAGTAGGGGAACTTCCAACCAGTGGGGAACTTCATTAAGATGCAAACTCAGCATAGGAATCTGAGGTAGAGCCCAGGGCTCCCTGTTTCTCATGAGCTTCTTGGTACTGCCAATGCTGGACATCAGGTACTGTTTGAGAAGCAAGGCAACAGATTTCCCTTCTGACTTGCCGTCTTGTTCTGTTGCATCTGCAGACCTTCCTGTGGTGCTGAGAATGAGATCGAGGTCTGAGGATGCTACACCAATACTCTATTGCTACACCCACAGCGGTGACCCCTGTGTAACTGTAGCAGAATGCCGCTCTACTGGGGGGAACTGCCTGAAGGGATGGGGTCAGAGCTTCTCGAAGCGGAGCCCCAGGCAGTCTCCTGGAGAGAAGCCCGATCCATGAGAGCCTCCAGAAGATCCCTGCGCTGGCGAGCAATATGTTCTGTTTTCTTTATGCTTTTCTGCGTAATCTGTTTAATCACTTTGCTATCTGTTTCCCAAGCACAGGCTAACCCAGATTCTAAAAAGGAAGCTGGCAATGCCACCAGCCCTGAGATGAATAACCCACTGCTCGAGGCACCTCCATTTATCCAGGCTGTTTATACAGAAGCTGGATACAATAAGACTAGTAATCAAACTCTGGGAGATTTTCTTAATGTTGTGAAACGAAGGGAACTCCTTATAGAACACTTCCCGGAGGATATACTCAGTATCTGATTAAGGGGAGATGGTGGACGGCGCCACGATGGGTGCCGGAGCAAGGAAACTATTTAGAGCCCCTATTATATACGGGAGGCTATGATGAGCGGGGTTACAGATGGGTCAACCATAAAGGCAAGAGAGTTCTTTGGAATTCATTAAACTTCATGGAATGGTTACGTAGAAGCAGGAGACCATGGTGTATTTATAATGAAAAGGAGAGACGAGCCATTTTAGAAAATATGATGACAGTCTTAAGATACTGGCATGCTTGCTTATGCAAGCAGTTGTGGGAAGCCTTGTATCGCAGATATGATTCCTTTAAAGAACACATTGCTAAGTACATCAGAGGGGAGCTAAAACTATCCATGTAGAAAGAGGAAGTTGACACTTGTCTCTAAAGATATGCTAGACATGATTCATCGAGCAGCCAGTTCATGACCAACCGCAAAGCCACAAATAATTGTATTAATAGATAAACTTATGCTATGTCTGTGTATTAATAGATAAACTTATGCTATGTCTGATTTGGGGCTGGAAACTTTTCGCTGAGATGTTCAAATTCTAAAAAATCATGATTCAGCTGTAACATGAATTGTATTTTTTCTATCCTTGTTCCTTGTTTCTATCACTATATAAGAGAAGTTTAAACTTCAGTAAAATTACAGCAGTTCACTAAGACTCTTGGTGTCTGTCTGTCATTTCCTGCGCCGTATCCTGACCTCTCCTGATACCTTCGACCCTGAGCTCCCGCGGTCTGATACTCTCCGCCAGAGCGGTCCGCGGCACTCTATCACTTAGCTGCACCTCCATCCCTGTATTAACAGACATTAACTCCACAGACATGCTGCCCCTTGTTAGTTCGCACCTCATTACCTTGTGACATGGATGGCCCCAGTTCATAGCATCTCCATGTCTCGACTCTGGGTTCATTCTTCATCCATTTAGTGTCTCAGGGTCACACTGGGTGACACAGAGCAGGTGGGTCAGGTCAGGTTGTGAAGGTCAGTCTATGCAGGCTCTCTGTGTCATCAGAGAGGTTTCTTCCACCCTATCCCTTCCCTGTCTTGCTGACTCTTTCCTTTTTGTTCCAGACCTGTTCTAACCCTCAAATTCTCGTTCTTATCCTAAGCAATTTGGACTTCTCCCAGGTCTCACACAGAGGTAACGGTTCTCCCAAGGGGTGGGTCCTCCATTTGCCAGAGCCCACCCTTCATGGATGGCAGCTGAGCACTGAGAATATTAACAATGGGCCTGGAGGGCTGGCTCAGTGGCTAAGAGCACTGGCTGCTCTTGTAGAGGATGGGGTTCAATTCCCACCACACACATATCAGCTCACAGCCATCCGTAACTGCAACCCAAGGTTTTCTGACACCCTTTTCTGGGTTTCTTGGGAAACCCATACATGTGACACAGACGCACACAGACAAAACACTCAGACACATAAATTAACAAAATAATAAGTAAAATTAATGATGAAGCATCTGCAGCGTTTAAGAACAGTATTAACCGTTTCTTTATTATAAATGTGAAATTTCAGAAATGGCCCAAGGAAGAGAAAAGTCAAAGAGTCAATTAAAAGAAATGACAAGATTTTGATGTGAAATAGCTCATCCACAGAGCATCTTGCCACCAAGGCCTAGAGGGTAGGGCCAATTTTACCACTGCCTCAGTTCTGGTTCAGTTGCAGTGGGGAAACAAGTTGCTAGGCAGATTCTCAATAAAGATTTCAGTTTTTAATCCTTCTGAATGAAATTGCTTAAGTTCAATCTATACAGTAAAGATTTCTTCTTGCTATTTCTGTTCCTCCAATGATTTCTGTTCCTGTCGGCTATTGCAGAAATCCATGGAAATGCTGGAGGCTGAATATACTTCCAGGAAAAGTTCCTTTGTAGAATATATTTCACAGAATGCCTCCTCTTTATTCCACTGTCATGGTGGAAAGTCCTTATTTTTTTCTTCAGACTTTCCGGGGACAAAATGGTTTCTAGGCTGGGTGTTATCTGATGCTTTTTAAAATTGTGTTTGTTAAAAATCACTCCCAATAATAAAGATATATATTTAAAAAGTCATTTGCTCTGTGATTACTTCATGAGTGTATTTTCTTCCACACTGTCTATCTTAATCCATACCTATAACAGCTACATGTAAAAATAGATGCTTGCTCTGTGGTTTGTGCCTAACGGATTCTTATCCCCTCACATGTGGACCACATAAGCCAAGGAAGGAAGTAGGAAGTAGTATTCATGCTCTACATGTTTATCGAGAGCTATAGCTTCCCTTCTATGGCCTACGCTCTGGATGGCTGGAGTGTAAGCTTGTTTACTATGAGTAAAATACAATTTCCAATTTGGAAGTGATCTGGCTTAACACATCTCATAAAGAGACTGGGAAAGATCTTTGGACATCAAAGAGTTCTGTGAGCAGACGTTTTGGGGAATGTAAAGGAATCTGCAACATATGGATTAAATTCCTGTTGGAATACACACATTCCTCCTTTTAAAAGCTACTTGAAATAAGCCACATTTCAGAGTTCATCGAATGTCTTTTTTTTGTTCTGATTAAGGTCCTACTCCATATTTGGATCATTGTATGAGTGCTCCCCCCCACAACAACGCTTGATGTCCCTCTAATCATCCATTCTATAAATATTTCAGACGCCTACTTAACTCAATTTTTAATTACATTAAGCCACGTGATAGACAGGTCTTATATCCCAAATATGGTCTCCAGTGGTGATTTTTGGCCTATTATGTCTTGAATACACATTTTTGTTTGTTTGTTTGTTTGCTTGCTTTTTATGAGTTCCTGGCAAGAAGGATGGATTGTCAGTCAATTTGGTTGACCACCAATTCTTTCCTGACGCTTCCTGCTGAATTCCTAGTTAATAGCATCCTGATCCCTTATGACCTCTCTGTCTGTGCCTTTTCAGGCTGTTCTCTTTGAGGAGTTTCAGACAGAATGGAATTGAACTTGGTGCAGATGTCAAGGGTACCAAATAGTGTCTAACATGTCAGAGCAGGGCCTTTCAGAGTCCTGTCTTTAAAACCAATCCCCTTCCTACCCTGAACACTCTAGACATCCTTGCTCTCTCAACTGGTACCCATTGTCTATCCATCTAGCCCTTCCTGGGTCTCATCATTATTTGCAGACAGACCAATAAGCTGTCTCCCCATCACCCAAGCGAAAGCTATGAAATTCACAATATTTATTCCATTCTTGGAGTTAATCTTTGCTCCTGCTTTTGATTTATTTCCTCCCCTATTATCTAGACATTTATGTTTCCTTTCTATTCCTTCTGTTAAATTTCTGAACAGCCTCTCCTGCTGTTATTGCCAATGATGAAGTGTTGGTTTTTGTTGTTAAAACAATATTATCTTTAAGCTCGTATCTTTCTCATCTATCTTTACATTGTTGCAAGATTTAGAGCCCCAAAGCTAGCTTTGCATATTGTTTCTGTGCTTGGAATCGTTTTCTTATAAGAAAGTGTTTAGTTTTGATTATGTATATGTGGATGTGCCTGCTTGTCTATATGTACACTATGGACATGCAGAGGGAGGCCAGAAGAGGCTATTGGATGCTTTGCGATTGGACTGGGAGGTAGTTGTAAGTTACCTGATGTAGGTGCTGGGAACTGAAACTGTGTCTTCTGCAAGAGCAACAACCTGAGCTTGCTCTCAGCCATTGCCCTTGGCTGCTCCTTTGCATGCTTTGCTCTCATCTCCTGTGTGTGTGCTAATTCCCTCACATCTTGGGGTATGTATCATGTGTATCTAGAGTGGGAGTGTCTTAGGACCAGAAGGGACAGCATAATAGCAGTTACTGAAATTATCCGTGGTTAAAACCCTTCATGTCTCATGTTACAAATCTTTGGAGAAGTTACTTAACTTCTCCAAAGCTTGCGTTTTTTTCACCTATAAAATGGAAATGAAAATGTTGAACACTTGTGAGTGTTCAAGTTTAAAATGAGATAATTCATGTATTAATTATATCCAGTCATGATACAACTCAGTTCACCAAATGCTTCCTTCTTCCCTTGTCTCTTCTTCCTTCTTTCTGATGCTCAGAAAAATGCTATTTATTTAAAATCTCTGTGTCCTGTAGTTCTTTTCACACAGAGTAATAATGTGCAGAATATATATCTACATATACATGATAATGTTACTGATATCTACTAAAACATCTGTGCTGCTTTTTTGAAGGAATGTACACCACAAAGAATTAGCATTGTTGAGCAATCCGCAGTTGCTGACACCATAGAAACTTTTTGATTTTCTTGATTCTAATAGTGATTCCTATGACTAATCTGACCCTCTAAGTACCAGCAGAGACTCTCATTTGTTGACTGTTTACAAAAGTACTGCTTTGTAAAATCAACAAACCTTCCTGGAGAATCTTCTTGGAAAAGAGAAAACTGAGTTTAGTGTAGAAATGACACATGGGCTTTGGTGGCTTTGGCAGAGGTAGTAGCTGTGAGTAGGGGTGGAATTCCAGAGGAAGGAACGAAATCTCTTGGATAAATGATAGGGAGGTCGGAAGATTGTTTTGACCAGGGAGGCAATTAGGTATGATGACTTCAGATTTCCTATGCAGAAGAACTCTGGAGGCAGCATTCTTGTTGGAAAGAAAGGACTAGAGAACATTCATTGAAGCTGAAGTCACATGTAACAGCTTGATGCAAGACTGATAAACTACCCAATGTCCTTATTAAGAACAGGAATGCGTAGTTCCTGCATGTAACTGGAGAGGGTGGGCTAATCTCACCGAGCCATCTCCATGACAACACCGTTGCAACAGACTAGGAAATGGATGAGACAAGTTGTTGGTGGAAGAGCCAGAGCAGAGGCAGGTGAAGCCAGGGAGTAGAAGGCTCCTCCAAGGTGTTAGGGCTGCTGAGCTAGTTCTCACGTGGTTGGCCTTATGCCTTGGGATGAGGGCCGCGGGTACCATGCAGTAGCTTGGGAGACGACAAGAATGGAAGCAAAGAGGCAAATGAGAAGCCGTAGGTAGATTCAAAGAATGCAAATTAAGTTCATTCTTTAATACAACATTTTTTTGATTCATGAGAAAAACGTTTATGAAGTAAGCCTAGTAGGCGATAATAATATGTACCATGCACTAGGCTATTTCTATATGAAGTAAACCTAGTAGGCTATAATAATCTGTAATATACACTAGGCTATTTCAGTATGTCAAATAGTACTTTGGCCTCTTGCCATTGATCAGTATGCTCATATTTTATGGTAACCCTATGGTTAAGGATCTATTGTTCTGTTCTTTTCTGTAGGGTTAAAAACACTGGGCTACAGCAATTGTACACACAGCTATAAGGAACAGAATCAGGCTTAAACTCTAGATTGCCTGGTCACTGATCCCGTATTCTCAGTCACTTCGCTGTGACAGCAATGTCTTTACAGCTATAATAAATGATTCAGAACAAATGGGTGTTATTCCTATACAGTGTCTTCTAAGAGTTTGATTCATATCCATTGAATCAACAATTTAAATAACTTTAGTAATTTCGTTAACTGAGCATTTACTGTATACCAGATACCAGGTTAAGTGTTTTATATAAATTATTTAGTTCTTGTGATGGTTCTCTTAAATAAATACAGTAAAACACTTGCAAGAAGTTTATATGATCCATTAGAATTCTACAAGAGGTTAGGGCATCCCATTAG